TTTTACCTGTTAGAAAGCAAAAGAATAGGGGAAGATTTTTTTAAATAAAGAATATTTTATTTTTGAGGCTGCTAAGTACAAGAAGTGAGTTAATAATAACAGAACATGAATATTACCATAGTGTGCAGACTGCACAGCCAAACCATGACTTAAAGGATCTTTTTATTTTATGAAATTATGCTGCGCTTGCAGCAAATGGGTTTTTTTTTATGTGTGGAAATACTTCCAAGGATTCTCAGTGACTTGCCCTGACAGATTGTGTGTTTCCCACCAGAGTTGACAAGTTCATGGACCGTGAGGGCCGCAGGCCTCGTATCCTCGTTGCCAAGATGGGCCAGGATGGCCACGACAGAGGGGCCAAAGTCATCGCTACCGGGTTCGCGGACATCGGCTTCGACGTGGACATAGGGCCCCTCTTCCAGGTAGGGCTGAGCAGCACCCAGAGCATTCATTCATTCATTCATTGCCTTTGCATCCCTTCTCCCCGGGGGCGTGCTCAGCCCCCGTGGCTGTGTCCCATGCCCTGCCCCACCGCTGTCGCACACAGACCCCGCGGGAGGTGGCGCAGCAGGCCGTGGATGCAGACGTGCACTGCGTCGGGGTGAGCACGCTCGCCGCGGGACACAAAACCCTGGTGCCTGAACTCATCAAGGAGCTCAATGCCCTGGGCCGGCCCGACATCCTGGTCATGTGTGGAGGAGTCATCCCCCCCCAGGTATGGGCAGCATCCGAATTGCTGCTGGCATAGCCCAGGGTGAGGAAGCAAAAAGGACCTTTGCACAATATCCACAAATGTTTTATTCAGCCGAGGCGAGACGATCCGGTCCCAGCACCCTCTCTGCACCCGCACTTTCTCTCTACCGGGCCCTAGGGGCTGACCCTGGTCTCGGGCAGTACAAAGCTGAGGGCCAATCAGGGAATGGGGGGAGTGGCTCAGGGACATGGGAGCAGACATAGGAACAGGGGATGGAGCCAATGGGGTCTAACAGCTTTTTGAGGGAAGCTTCTTGTGGCTCCCTAGACCAGGAAATGTCCCCCCAGGGTCTCCACACATTTCCATCAAGCTAAGAGATTGATTTATCTCTGTCTGAGCTGGCGTGCTGTTTCCTGTGTTCTCTAATGTCAGAGCACTGAAGGCTCCTCTGGACAGTCAGCAGGGCCAGCACAGCTCTGTAAGGTGGGATCCCCCGATCTGATTTTCTGTACACCATGCCCTGGTGTAACTTAGAGTGTTTGTGGGATGGAATATGGAGCTGTGTTGTGAAAAGATGAGCTTTAGGGAGATGTTCTTTAAGCTCTGTTGTTTCACATCAGCAGTCCTTGCTGGCCACCAGGCTGGATTCTGTCTTAAGGGACTTTTTGACTTCCAGCAATGGTTGGGAATAGCCACAGCCAGTGACTAAAGCCCCTGGCAGGTCCCATCACCCCTAGACTGCACATCTCACTCACTTTTCAGCCTCTCCTCACCTTCCCCATCATCAGGCAGGTGTTGCCTTTCATTCCCTCTGCTTTCTCCTAAACTGTTGAGCAGTTTGTTGAATTCCCTGGCAGTCAGATCTTTGCTTTCATCTTTAAGTTTTCCTTAGCTCATGCACAATTTGCCTGTCTCCATCACCTTACAGCCATTCTCTGTCTATAGTGATCCAAGCTGATTTTGCACATAAAACTCCTGTTATTCCCTTTTTCCACACTTCTCCCTTTTCTAGGCAGTCAAGTAACTATTTGGGAATGACAGAATTATAAACTGAACAAACAAAACTCACAGTATTTTTCTAGGAGAAAAATGTGAGATACTGTCTGTCCAGTATCTCTCAATGGGATGCTACTATTCTATGGTTGGTAAAGGTGTAATATATCCTATGTAGAAGAAGGAGAGAATACAGAACTGCTTCCCAAGTCCTTTTGAAATTTCAGGACAGTCATCAAATTCGATTAACTCTAGATTGCAAGAGACCACTGGCAGTCATCTGCTCCAAGCCCATGTATAAAGTAATATTTTCAAAATTAGAAGTTAGATCAAATTTAGGTTGGGTTATTCAGACTCATATACAGTTGACTTTTGAATACTTCCCAAGGATTGCCATTAGTCTGACTCTAAATGAATATACAAACCCTTTCCTATTGATATTTTTTAGTATTTTTTTTCTACCTTCTAACTTCCACCCATTTCCTTGAAGCTGTGCTGCCTCTCTCTGGGACTTGTTGCTTTCTCAGGCCCAGCATAGAGGACAGACCATGCACCAGTTATAAATTAATTACCCATTTTCTGTTCACTATTAACTATAATCTTAAATCTCTTTTCCAACAGGATTATGACTTCCTGTACGAAGCTGGTGTTTCCAATGTGTTTGGTCCAGGCACTCGTATTCCAAAAGCAGCAGTGCAGGTGTTGGATGACATTGAGAAGTGCCTGGAGAAGAGGCAGCAATCCATGTGACTCTGAAATGTCACAACTCAGCAGCCTTACACTGACCACCTGATTGTCAGCAAGGGATGGCCAACCACAAACCTCTGCTCCCACTGCCCCCTGGCCTCGTGTTTTGTGCTTTCTAAGAAAGTTCTAAACTCTCTGCTTGTTCTATTTGAGGATTATTTATATAGGTACCCACAAGAAAATTTATCTCTAGAACTATGATTTCAGGAAGTGAAGGGAATTCAAATAAGTGTGTTTGGGGTTTTTTTTCCAGATATACTGATAAATAAAATAACAGCTTTTGCCTGATCTCTTTTGCATGCAGAAAACATGTTTTGAGTTTTTTTGGCAGTTATAGTGGATCTAGAAGTCTTCAGGCAGGATCACTGATTCAGCAGAGATGGGATTGAACCCAGCAGCACTTTGGTTTGAGAAATGGTGGCTTCTCAGGGGAGGGCAGTGATGGGATCAGAGCACAGTGCACAGCTGCTCCTATACAGGCTACTGCCATCTACACCATTTGTATCTTACTCAGCCATGAAATTCAAAAATGATGGTTTATCTACCTATAGTTTTGTTAAGAGTGTTACATTATAGCTGCCCCATCCCTGGAAGTGTTCAAGGCCAGGTTGGATGGGGCTTGGAGCAACCTGGGATTGTGGAAGGCAGTTGGAACAAGATGATCTTTCAGGTCCCTTCCAACCCAAACCACTCTCTGATTCTGTGTTTCTGTGATTTTATGAAGTTGTTCATCAAACAACTTGTGTTTTACATTCATGAGCAGCAAAACTGTATCTGTTATGTGGATGAGAGAAGAACCCAAGACAAAGTTTAGGTTGCACAATATTACTGGCAAAATAATGGGGTGGAATCCAAGCCTTTGCAGTGTTATCCTTGTGCTCTAACTTGTGGAATAATGACCTCTCTCAAATAATTGATCTTTGTTCTGAAGTGAGTCACATTTAATTTTATAGATGGAAAATTGACCATTAACAGAAATTTTCTATAAAAAATCTGTAAGTTATTCCTATGCCTCAATATCCAAACACTGCCTAGAAGTTTTTCAATGTAAGGCATTGAAATTGAACTTATTTTAATACAAATCAGAGTTCTAGTGGTATTATCTGACTTTATAGTTAGCTCCGTAGGGAGCTCCATTTGTCCTCAATGGAAAGAAAGAAGGCAAAGGTGGCTGGCTCAGGTTGAGTGTCTGCATTATAAACCTCCTAAGAGTGGTGAGAAAACTCCTAATATGTGAGAGGTCTGATCTGTTGGGAGTTTTTAGATTAAATTTTGGTTTGTATTGAGGTGGTTGCACTGGTGATTGCAAACATGAGGTGCCCAGACTCGCTCCTGAAATCAGTGCTTGCACCCTGAAAAGACAGCACAGTCCAGGCCTGGGTAGGAAATAACCATGGAATTGTAATGTGATCATAAATTACCTCCTCAAAAGTTAAAACAACCACCAACCAGACCAGGTGTTATGGGTGTACTGAATCAGCAAACTATTCTCAGTTGCAGTCATGTCAGTGCTCTAGCAAGGGGGGAATTTGGGATCTCAGGAGCTCCCATGGAAGCCATGAGAGCCAGGACTGCATCTGCAGGGTGTCCCTGCTAGGGAGGTCACCTGGGGAATGCCTTGTGTCATCCTCTACAGAGAACAGCTGCAGAGAAAGGGTGGTGAAGCACTGCAACAGGCTGCCCAGGGAAGTGATGGACCCACCATCCCTGAAAGAGTTCCCAAAATACATGGATGTGGCACTGGAGGACATGGCTTAGTGGTGAACACGGTGGTGATGGGTTGGTGGTTGCACATGATTTAGGAGGTCTTTTCCAACCTTAACAATTCCGATCCTTAAGTGCTCCAACAGCTTCTGTGGCAGAAGAGCTGTTGTACCTCAGCCAGCAACAGCTGAAGAACACAGTTCCTCCTGCTGAGAGCTTCCCTTCCCTTCCCTTCCCTTCCCTTCCCTTCCCTTCCCTTCCCTTCCCTTCCCTTCCCTTCCCTTCCCTTCCCTTCCCTTCCCTTCCCTTCCCTTCCCTTCCCTTCCCTTCCCCTGTGCCATTTGGGACACACAGGGCATCCTTCACTGACTGCCACTTTCCCACCAAACCTCATCCAGCCAAGGCTGCTCAGCTCCTTGGACTTGTGTTTGCAGGAGTTCGAGCTGCACCTCTGGGAGAGCAAGGAACCCCAGATCTCTGTATCATTTTGGGAGCAGCCACATTCTCACCTTTTCCTGGAAGTGAACATTTCTTGCTCCCCATATGGTTTTCAGTCAGAATAGCTGGAAAACTACACACTCAGCTGTGTTTATTTGGTAACACTGTGTGCAACCTATGGTTTTCTCTGATGGCTGTTTTACTGGTAGGCCAACAGTTGGCAGATAGACTGCATTAAATAAAATCAAAAGTATAGGAAAAAAAAATCAACAAAAATAATAATTCTCTTTTTACCTGAAAATAAGTTTAATTTACATGATTTTATGTTTGGTACATAAATCTATTTCCCCTAAAATGGAATTTCTTGGGGAAAAAATAGATTTTTAATTTTTTTTTTTTTTTCCGTGAGGCTTACAGACAATATTTGAGATTAAAAATATATACTTAAACCTCTGTATTGACATGAGATAGGCAGTGACAACCTCATTGGCTGCATCCCTGGGAGTGAGGCCAGGCTGACCCCACGGCCGCTCTTCAGGGAGCTGCAGCTCCCAGGTTCTGCACCCTCGGCGCCGCAGACAGACGGACGTTGTCCCTCCCGCTCCACATGGTGGACACGGGGTTCTCCATGGAGTTGTCAGAGCTGAAGTAGGGAACCCTCCAGGCACAGCAGCACTGCAGCTTCCTCACCTCGCAGCGGAAGGTCTTGCTGAAGATGTAGTAGATGAAAGGGTTGTAGGCCGTGGAGGACTTGGCAAACAGGCAGGGCAGCAGCGTCACCACGGGCTGCAGGGAGTCGCTGGAGTTAAAGATGGACCAGAAACTGGTGGCTGCATAGGGAGTCCAGGAGCTCAGGAATCCCACTGAGATCAGCACAGCCATCTGCAAGGGAACAGAGCTGTTTGCAGCTGGACAGACAGGGCTGGATGCCCTGGCACGCGAGGTGTGTGTGGGACACACCTGAACTGCAACACCGAAAGCTGTGCTTGCTGGGCCCTCGTGACAAGAGACACCTGGAGGGGCTGGAGCGTGTCCAGAGAAGGGAACTGAGCTGGGAAAGGGCCTGGAGCACAGGTCTGATGAGGAGCAGCTGGGATGTTGGGGAAGATGTAACAGGAAAGCCTTATAAATATGATTCCTGGCAAAGGATTTTGAGAATATAGAAACTATAAGTGAGATTGAAATGAAAGCAAGCTTTGAGATACCTTAGTTACTGAACAACTGGAAAACAATGGTGTGGCTGGCTGAAGGTAATCCCCTTTTGATGAAAAAATTCCCTCTGCTTGCAGACAGGCCCAAGGGTCAGAGCAGACCCTATTAGCTTGGCAGAAGGGTCCAAAGAGGAGTTTTTAGGGTTTAAAATGTAACACAGTATGGTAATGTAATGATTCTTATAGGCTGTATGTAAATGCTATAGGATTTGTATATTTTACTAGATTGCTTAGTGAGAATTAGAATATTCAGCACAGAAGAAGACGTATTGTAACGAGAACCTCGCTCTCTTACCCTTTGGCTCTCTTACCCTTTTTTGCTCTTACCCTCTCATCCTCTCTCCCCCTCTCTTCTCTCAGGCCTGCTCTGAGCTGTGGCTGGCAGCTCCCAGCAGGGCCCTGCACCCAGGCCCTTTGCAATAAACCCCAAGTCCCACCACCTGGCTTCAGAGATCTCTCATCTCCATCCATCCCGACTGTCCTACCCCCGATGCTCCTACACTGGGGGAGCTCAGCCTGGAGGAAAGGAGACTCAGGAGGACCTTATCACTCCCTACAACTCCCTGGATGCTAGAGCCAGGTGGGGATCAGGCTGTGCTCCCAGGTAAAAATTGAAAGAACAAGAGGAAATGCCCTCAGGTTGCACCAGGGGGTGTTTAGATTGGATATTAGGAAGCATTTCTTCATGGGAGGGGTTATCAGTCATTGGGACAGACTGCCCAGTGCAGTGGTGGAGTGACTGTAATTAGCAATATTAAAAAAAAATGTGTTGCTATGGTACTTAGGGGCATGGTTTAGTGGTGGACTTGTCAGTGCTGAATTAATGGTTGGACCTGATGATCTTAGAGACCTTTTCCAACCTTAATAATTCAGTGATTCTATGACTGGCCTCTAGAAAGCTTGGATCAATTCTTCTTTTCCACAAGAAATGCACAACTGAAGTCCATATTTGGAAAAAAAAATATATGTTAATACTTTATATTAATCTATTAAAATCCTGTTTCCACACAGAATTTCTGTATAGGTGTCTGTAATCCCATGATTCTGTGAGCTGTGCATGAGCAGAGCCAGCTCTCTGCCAGCTCCTGATTACTGCACACTCTTCCCATCACAGGGATAACTCACCAGGGTCAGCTTTTTCTCCAGTTTGGCTGCATTGGGGATCCTGTCAATATTCTGGATCTCTTGGTATGCTTTATGAACCTTCCAGGCAATCCCCAGGTAACAGGCAACGATGGTCAGCGCAGGCAGCACCGTGCACAGGAGGAACATGCTCAGGATGAAGGAGAAACCATTGGAGGAGTTGTGGAATTTGCTCCAGGCTATGGTACAGGAGATGCCAAAGGGCTCAGGGCCGTAGTAGCCCCAGCCCACCAAGGGCAGGATGGCCCAGAGCAAGGAGTAGAGCCAGATAAAAGCAATCAGGATGCAGACAGTGCTCTTGGTGATTTTGCTACCTGCAAGAAAGAGGAAGAACAAGCATGGATGGATCCCATGCCAGCCACAAGGGGGTTTGCCATAACTTCTCCTTAGACAGAAGGATGGTGGCTCCAGACACACCTGGGCTGCTGCTGCAGGTCCCTAACCTTGGGGCTTCTAGAGAAGCATTGTCAGAGGATTGGATGAGACCTGAACAAAGCCCTCAGTACTCATCTGGAGCTTAAAAAGGCAGGGAGCTTTACCAGATCAATTTCACCTTGAATGTGCAGTGGTCCCAGCCCAGGAAAGCCAGAAGAATATTCCTTCCTTTTAAGCTCCAGTGTATCTGCTTGGATACAAATAGGAAGGGAAGGCGGTTTTGTCAAGGAAAACATTTGTGCTCTCCATTTTCAGGTAGCTTCACTTGGAAAAACTGAGAAGTGAAAAACCTCACTGTTTCATACAGAATTTAATCAGGTCCTGCTGGGAACACCGGATTTGACACTGCACTAAAAGCTGAGGTTTATTCTGCTGTTACTGACCTGATAACCCACGCTGCATTCCACAAAGCACCTCCCAGAGCAGCCCAGCCCAAACACAGCAGCACCAGGTGACAATATCGGTGATTTACTCACTGTTGGATTTGGATGAGTTGGTGACGAGGAATCGAATCACGGCCATGGCACACAGGGTCATCATGCTGCAGACCCCAAAGAGGAAACCCATCAGGGCATAGTAGACACAGGAGGTGTCTCCCCCCAGCCAGGCATGGTTCCAGGCAGATGCAATGGCCAGGGGGTACATGCTGAGGGCCATGCCAGTGTCTGCCACCGCCAGGTTCACTGTGAGCAGCTCGGGTGGCTTCAGCAGGGACGAGCGTCTCACAGCCGTGGCAAGGACAGCTGAATTCCCAAGGATTGTCAGGATGGCTGAAAGGGAAGGACCAACACAGACAGGAATATCACACGGTTAACACACCTGGGAAATCCACTGGAAGTTTGTGAAGTGCCTGAGAGGGGCTACAACAGAGCTGAGGAGGGACTTCTTATAAGATTATGTAGTGATAAGGAATGGATTTAAACTGAAAGAGAGCAGGTTTAAATAAGATATTAGATGTTCTTCCCTGTGAGGATGGGGAGGCCCTGGCACAGGGTACACAGAGAAGCTGTGACTTCTCCATCTCTGGAAGTGTCCAAGGCGGGGTAGGACAGGGCTTGGAGCAATCTGGGATAGTGGGAAGTGTCCCTGCCCATGGCAGGGTTTGGAATGTCCTGCCACTGCCTGCCCATGTGAAAAGTCACTTTCTGTCTTTTTTATAAGTTCCCTTTAAGTGCTGGAAGGCCAAAATGAGGTCTCCCTGTAGCCTTTTCCAGAGAGAACCCCCAGCTCTCCCAGCCTGTCTCCAGAGTGAAGGTGCTCCAGCCACCTCCAACTGGAGCCCCAACACTGGGCTCTGAGCTGCCTGGGTGGTGGCCATGCACTGCCTGGGCAGCTCAGAGCCCTTGCTGGTCCCTGAGAATTAGCATGACTGTTCTGGTGGCTCTGAGAGCAGTGGGACCATGGGAGTTGTTTAGCCAGGGGCTGCAACAGACCCAGAGCTTGCTTTGCAAAAGGAGCTGTCAGACATACATTATTCAGCTGTGCCACAGGGCTTCAAAGTGCTGGTGACAGCAGTTCCAGAAGTACACACACCAAACAACTCATTTTCTCTCTTCTTTCTAGTGAACATGGTGCTGGAGCAATATTTTGATGAAAGGTTTTCCTGAGAAGGAGTCCTCTAAAGTCAGATGTGGAAGAGGGAGACAGGAAAAGGTTCTGTCCTGTTCCCTTGTGGCTGTGAATGCAGGAAGGCTGCATTTGCCCACAGGTACCACTTAAAGTGCCCACAGAAGAGTTAATAGAGGCCCATGCAATAAAGTAGAATAAATCTATTGGCATAAGTACAAAATCCTCTGAGGTGTCAAGAGGAAGGCTAAACTGAAATGGGGACACCAAGCTGAGACCCTGTGTCCCTCCTTCATTCCCTTTCTGACCCCACACCTTCATTTGCCACCTCTGGATGCCCTTGAAGGGCTCCCTGAGCTCTCAGGTCTCTGTGTCTGCACACATGGGATGATGCCCTTGGCTGGCAGAGCAGCCTGGGGCTCAGTGGGCAGAGCTCTCTCCACAGGCTGGGACATGGAACCATGGAATCATTGAATCCTTTGGACTGGAAAACACCTCTAAGATCATTGGGTCCAACCACTCCCCAGCACTGACCAGGCCACCTCTAAAGCACGTCCCCAAATGCCACATCCACTCAGCTTTTAAATCCTCCCAGGGATTCTTCCCACCACTGCCCTGGGCAGCCTGTTCCAATGCTTCACAGTCCTTTCCATGAAGAAATGTTTCCTAAAATCCAATCTAAACTTGCCCTGGTGCAACTTGAGGCAATTTCTTCTTGTCCTGTTACTTCTTATCTGGGAGCAGAGCCCGACCCCCCTGGCTGTCCCCTCCTGTCAGGAGTTTTGCAGAGCCACAAGGACCCCCCTGAGCCTCCTTTTCTCCAGGCTGAGCCCCTTCCCAGCTCCCTCAGCCCCTCCTGGTGCTCCAGCCCCTTCCCCAGCTCCATTCCCTTCCCTGGACATGCTCCAGCCCCTCATTCTGTTTCTCACGGTGAAGGTCCCAAAACAGAACATCCTCAGGCTTCAGGAGGAAAAATGAACCCAATTCACTTTCTTTGGTAAGAGCCCAGCCCTTACACAAGATGCAGGAAGCAGCTTTGTCATCAGAGGTGACTCCCAGTCCCTCCTTCCCCTTGACAGAAGCTCTTCCCCTCCATCCCACAGCCTGGCTGGCACAGGACACAACCATAACTGTGGGACAGTGACCAAACAGCTGGTGGTGAATGCTGCCACCCATGCCCAGGCCTTGTTCCTAATAAAAAACATCATTTCAGGGCACAAACCTGCAGCCCCAGTGAGTGGCAAAGCTATGGATAAATACAGCACCTGATTCAGTTCAGCTCACTGCTTTATTTCTGAGAGTCCCCGCAGGATGCAGTGAACCTGGCTGCCACACAGGGCTCTGGATCCCTGCTGGAAGCTGTGCCTGGAGTTTCAGTGCCTCAGAGTCCTTTAGGAGAGGTGTGAGACTGCAGCATGGTGGGACACAAACATGGGGAGCTCCAGCCCCCAGCCCTTTTTTGCTGCCCCTTCCCATTGTGCCTTAAGTGCATCTATGTATCTGCATTTCTGAGAGATGGGAGCTGGCACCCTGACTTGGAAAAGCCCTTCATTTTTTGTAAACAGGGATTTTCTCACCCTGAGTTAGGCTCTGCTGTGCAGAACAAGAGGAAATAAGAAGTGCTAAAGTCCAGCTCTTCTGCCCAGAGCCTCAGTATTAAAGCACATGAAAATATAGGTTTGTCTTTCTTATGTCAAACTGAGTTTGTAAGAGAGTTGAAGGAAGGACTCTTAGGAAAAAATCAGGTGGAAAGTATGCCTAAACAAGTTCCACTCCTCTCCAAATCCACGAGGGTAGAAAACAAATGCCTGTGTACATGCAAGAAGCAGACAAGGAAGAACACACTTAAGCAATGGGCTGGTAGCTATCCCCACTTTTATTTAATTTTCAATCTGCCTGCAGCAGGGCAAACAGGCTGCTGCAAACCCCAGAACTGCTGTTTGGAAACCCTTTGCTGTTCTGTAGCAGTGCATCCTGCCCAGACAGAGCAGAATGACACCTCTCCCACCCAGGGCCAGCCCACAGCTGCTTCCCCCTGACCAGTCCCATGGATGGAGCTGCCCTGGCTCAGTTCTCAGGGCTCAGATGCCACAGAAAGTGACAGAAAACTTATTTCAAATCCTGGTGATGCCACAGAGGCAAATTTGTGCTGGCCATTCTTCAGCACCAAAACAAGATTCCAAATCCAAGAGTGGAGAATAATCCTGGCTGCCAACCAACTCCAGGGCACTAAGCAGGGGAAGCTGTGGGGAATATTTGCTGCCATTTCCCTCCAGGTTCTGCTGCCTGACCACAGCACAGACAGGGAATCCCTGTATCCTGTTCCCTGGCTCCAAGCAAACCAGCAGGCTGTGAACTCACCTATGATGAGAAGAAAGACCCCAGCTCCATAATCCACTACTGGGTGGAGTTTGGAAATGTACTGCTCCTCCATGGTCCCTTGGGGAGATGCCTGAAGGTTCTCAATCAAAGGTGAAGGCGCTGCAGGAGCAAAGAGCTCGTCCTCATGGTTTGCCTGCTGCAGGTCAGGGCTGGTGCTGGGTGCTGGCAGTGCAGGGACCCTTCTGCTGCCTCCTTGTGCTGCCTGTGGAGTGGAGGGCAGAAGCCTGGAGTGAGAGGAAGGGTTTTCCCCCGGGAGGCAGAGTGAGAGCCAGGCAGAGCCGCTGCCAGCGCGATCCCGCCTGCCTGGCTGGCAGAGCTTCTCTCCTCCCACCCCTCCTCTCCCACCCTTTTGCTCCTTGGCTTGTCGAGAAGATTCACAATGCAAATCCCCTCAGATGAGCAAAAACCAATTGTTCTTCAACCACCAGCAGCCCTGGGAAATAAAGCCAGGCTGAGGGGGCAGGCAAGGGAAGGAAGGTTGGGAGTTTTGTTTTCCAGCTTTATGGCTGAGTGTGGGAGACAGGAGGTTGGGGCAGGAGTCTCTGAGTGGAAGTGTTAGAGGAAAGGTGTTTGCTGCAGGGGCTCAGCAGACTCAAAGTCTGCTGGAGACAGGACTGTGTGAGCTGCTCCAGTGCAGAACTAGAGGATGCTCTGTCCAGTGTAGTGTACCAGAAGAGAAGCAACCTCTGAGGCCACTCTGTGACACTCCAGAGTTCTGACTTGGCCAGCAGCCACACCTCACCTCTGTGTTTTCCTTCTCCTCATAATATCTGAGCCTAAGATCACCATAATGAGCAGCCTGGTTTAGTGGGTGGCATCTCTGCCCATGGCAGGGGGCTGGAACAAGATGGTCTTTAAGGTCCCTTCCAGCCCAAACCATTCTGTGATTCTGTGATAAGGGATTTTAAAATTCACAAGAGCATGGAGGCATCTCAGGTGTGATTTAGGTGGAATTTAGGTGCTCAAGTATAGCAGTAACAGCCTAAACTTAGGAATCTGGGGAACCCTTTCATTTCAGCAGGGTTCTGTAGATCTCCAAGTATGGAGACTCCACAAGAGTTGTTCCAGTGCCTTTTTGCTCTTAGTCTCACACAGTTCAGGAACAAAGACAGCACCCAACTCATGAAATCCAGCAGCTGCTCATGAAATCATGAGCTGCTCAGGGCAGGTGTCCTTCACTGAACATCCTCAGCAGAGGAGATTCAGCTGTAAGAATGTGGGTGGTTGTTGCAATGCTCTCGAGCCATGGGTGTACAAGCAAGACTCCATTTAACACAGGAAAGCAGGATATATAGTGTTAATCATAGGAGGAAATTCTTCTTCTATCAGAACAGAATAAGAAAAGGAAGAGGTGATGTCTCAAAAACATGCCCAGTATGGAGAGTTTCAAGCAGCTTGGTCAATTCAGTGCAGTCTGTGCAAGGAAGAGAGGTTACCATTCCATAGCATTTTGAGGGAGTGTCCTGGTTCTGACCAGGACAGGGTTAATTTTACAGTGGCCAGGAGGGGCATGGCCAGGACCTGGAGGTGATTCCATAGCACCTGGGCAGAACCACAAGCAGAAATGCCTGCTAGTGGAGCAAAAGACACAAATCCTGTGGCAGAAAGCAGAAAATTGCCACATTCTGCCACTTCATCCAGCTCACAAACCCATTGTATTGGTAAATTAAACAATGCCAGATCACCACAAAGAGGCTGGACTCTGACTGCTCACCTTGCTAAATTCACAGAACAGCTCCTGGCACTGATTTGGGCTGGGCCAGCTGGCACTGTCCAGGCACTGTCCTGTCCTTCCCAGGCTCAAATTGGATAAAACGAGCCCAGGATTGTTCCCCACAAGCAGTAACATCATCAGCTTTGAAAACAAAGTGTTTTGTTCCCTGGCACAGATGTTGCCCATGGGTTTTGCTCTTTTCTTGAGTGTCAACATTTAGATTGTCAAGGTGAAGCCATTGGATGAGGATTGACTGTTTTAAAGTTCTCAAATAGAGCTTTTAATCCTGATAAAACCCTTTCTTGATAAAATTCCTGGCCTGTACTATGCAGTCATCTCACCTAATGTTTCTTTTCGGTCTTTCTTGGTGAAGCCACGGCAGAGGGCTCAGTTCAAGGAGCCTGATGTCCCCCAGTCCCAGCCAGATCTCCTGCTTCCCCACTTGTTGCATGGTCCATCTTCTCTCTACTGAAATAAAACACTGCCTTTCTTCAGGCAAGCAAGGAGACCAAGGGCAAGATTAAAACATTCTGCTGATAATTTAATTGCTAATTATTATTTAATTACTGGAGGCTCCACTGGCTACATCAGGAGCCCAGTCCTCTGCCAGCTCTTGTGGGCACCTTAGATTACACTGTGTGGCTCTTTCACGCTGGTTTAGATGGCATTTCATTTATTGTGAAACCCTCAGTTTAGCATTCACATGGGGTGGGATTACATCAACAGCCCAGTTACGAAATGGAAGAAAAGAAAATGAATGATTAAAACCAGAAGAGCTGACAGGTCCCAAACCCAGTGCATTATTCATGTGTACTTTAACAATAGCAAGTTGTGCTCATCACCATCTTCCTGCACATCAGATCGAGCCATATGATCTGTTCACAACAGCCTAAGGTTATACATCTTGACAGACCCAGACTTGGGGGGGATCATGTTTTAGAATTGTTTTGTGAAGCTTACTTTCGATTTAATAAAGCAGTCATGAAATGAGGCAGATGAAGGATGAAGTTGATACCTACTCATTTCTGAAAGGTTATGTGAAACTTTAAGCAAAAAATGAACTCATAATGAAACTATTATATATCCTTTATATAAATATGGACATACATATTAAAATAGTTCCCATTGCTGGTATAAAACAGGGTATGAGTTGAGGAATTACTTGATGCTTCCAAGTGAGAATTCCCTATGTGTTTATTTTTACTTTCCACAGGGAAAAACATAAAAAGTATTCTGAATCTGTAGGAACAAGGGAATTGGTCTGAATTATCAGTTTGCCACTGTGTAGGGTTCATTTTGAGAGATAAAATGTCTCAATGTGTGGAGCTGTTTGGGACATGAATACTGGGTTGTGTTTGGTACCGTATACCAAAATCACTGATATTTCCTGATATCTGGGGAGGGCTATGAATCTGGGTCCTTATCAGAAATGTCTATCAAAAATAGTCATGTATCATTTAGAGGAGGACATGACTTTGTTATTCCTGTTTATCTCTGGCTGCTGGGTCCAGATCTTCTCTTTGTAAAGACTCTGAGATCCCGAGTGAGCAGAGAGTGTGCAAACAGTTTGTGGGGACAGGCCCTTCTGAGTGCCCTCTCCTTGCTGCAAAACACATCTGCCATGATGCACAGCTCAGGCTTTTTGATTAAAAAATGACACCTTTTCCAAACTCCTTGGAGGAGACAACTTCATCGCATTCTCCAGGAATTCCTACAACTTTCTTCCTTTATAACATTCATTTATTTTTGCAGTTTTAATTTTGAAGCTCATCTTTGAGCTGAGACCTTTAGCTGAGCTTCTCTAGCTTTCACCTCTATTTATGAAAATCAGAACCAGCATTTAAGTGGAATTCTCAGTCTCCTGATGAAGTTGTATGTTTTCAACAACTAAATCTTGTTTAAGCTGGTATTTGCAACCTCAAGCATAGTAATTTTTAAATTGTTTTCTTCTGGTTGCCTGCAGTGACTTGCATGTTATTGCCTGAGGGGTTATTTACAAAGTCTAAATTCAGTCTAGGGACACTAAACTCCCTAACTTCCCTTGGCAGGAACTGAAGAATCCCCTTTGATCAATACATTTTGCTCTTTCACTACAACCAGTTTAATACATAAAACTTGGGTGTTGGTAAACCCAGTCCAAGTGAGTAACTTGGGTCACAGCAACACCTGCAGTGCTGCAGGCTGGGGAAAGAGTGTCTGGAAAGCTGGAAAAGGACCTGGGGGTGCTGGTGACAGCAGCTGAGCATGAGCCAGGTGTGCCCAGGTGGGCAAGAAGGCCAAAGGCACCTGGGTTGTACCAGCCATGGTGTGGGAACAGGACCAGGGCAGTGACTGTCCCCTGTGCTGGGCACTGCTGAGGCCACACCTCAATTGCTGTGCTCAATTTTGGGCCCCTTTGGGACAAAAAAGGCATTGAGGGGCTGGAGTGTGTCCAGGGAAGAGCAATGGAGCTGGGAAAAGGTTGTGGAACTGAAGCCAGAAGCTCACATTTATTAAACAAAGTCATTATTTGTTGAACCATGATATTCACACTGCACTGGTGAAAAAAATACCAGGTATGCAGTGAGGAAAGTCACACATGGAGTAAAGACGTCCCTGACGTGACAAACCAGGCAATAGGCTTCCCTCTCAGGGACAATTTTTTTTCCTCCCCAGCATCTCAAATTTGCAATGAAAGGTTCTAATCTGAGTAAACAAGGCAAAGCAGAAACACAGCAGGAGGTGGGAAAGGAGAGATTGGAGGTTAATTCAACATTAAAGTATGAAGAATACTACAGCTGTTTCAGGGGTGTGAGAAGACAGACACTAATACATTAAGAGTGGAAAGGAAATGGCACCATAGGTGCTAAAATAAAATGAAAGCTACTATTGTGTCAAGAAAAGAGAAGAATAAAATGTATTGCTGATGGTATGGAATTTGACATTGCCAAGCTGCTCATATTTAATATGATGACCATGTTCCCAGACCTCAGTTTAACACTGGTATGAACAGCAATAACTCTCCATTTTAAAGGGCTCAAAGACAAAACCATGCTCTGTTACGCTGGATATTGGACAAGTAATCACACAGGGACACTTTCTTACAGTTTTTTTCCAACCATTTATTGACATGTAGGTTTTGGTAGCAAGCTCCACTGACTTTTCCTTTGCATTTTGGTCCTGCACTCCATTTATTCATGATTCCTTTGTGTCATTCAAACAATGGGGAAAAACCCCACAATTTGTAGAATGGAGCACACTCTACCCTCTAAAAAGCCAGATTCAACAGATTGGATCATTTAAGATTCTCCAGTTTTGTGTTACTGTAGCATGATGGCAACAAGGATGTGATTGCCTGT